CGTGGGCTAGCAGCACGATGGTAGCCACCGCTCTTGGGGCAGCTCCAAATCCTGGAGGTCCTTGCTGTGTCCGCTGGCCCAGCGCAAGGAGCTGGGATGAGGATGCTGGAGCCAGCGCGGCGTGTGATGGCGGGAGGGGACAGCGCGCCCGCCCCTGCCCTTGCTGAGCAGGAGAGGTCACGCAGGGTGGATTGTGCTCCTGGGCAAGGAGACTGCAGGCCAGGGCTGAAGCCCACGGGCTCGTGGGAGCCCCTTGGACAGGGATGAACCTCCCGTGCCTCTGGTGCTGGGGAGGAGGGTTGGGGGTTGAGTTACTGCAGGGCTGAAGCACCAGCCAGGCTGAGAGCTCTTTGTTCTCTGCTGCTGTTAGCTTTGGTGTCCCTGGGGAATGGAAACCTTGCAGGGAGGCTGTGGCTGGCTGGGAACACTCTTTCACGGGCTCGTGGGAGCCCCTTGGACAGGGATGAACCTCCCGTGCCTCTGGTGCTGGGGAGGAGGGTTGGGGGTTGAGTTACTGCAGGGCTGAAGCACCAGCCAGGCTGAGAGCTCTTTGTTCTCTGCTGCTGTTAGCTTTGGTGTCCCTGGGGAATGGAAACCTTGCAGGGAGGCTGTGGCTGGCTGGGAACACTCTTTTTTTTGGTGGTGGGGCTTGTAATGTTATTTCTTTTACTGTGCTGTGTAGGAAATTGAGTCTATTTCTGTTTAAATACTGGGGTAATAGAGCCTGCTATTTAGTGAAAGATTTATGTAAATGGCTCTTTGTTTCACACGATTGGGCCTTACGGAGCGTAAGTTACATCTATAATGTAATTATGCCACTAGTGCCATTTCAAAGCAGCACGTTGTGGAGGAGCCTCCAATTTCTGTGTAGAATAGGACTTGAAAACCTTGCACTTTTAAAATCAACTTTTGTTCTGCAGCAGGAAGAAATAGTGGAGCTGGATTACAGAACAGCCTGTTCTGGGGCTGTCGACCTTTTTGGCTTAGAACCCAAGACTTATTTTATATCAGAATTTTGGAACACCTATTACTGCACATGATAATGGCATTACATAAACCGAGTTGGCCTTAAAATGCAACTTCCCCACCTTTCCTAACGCTTCCTATTTTGCTCGTGTCAAGCTGGTTGTCAGTTTTGTGTTTGTATTGCCATGAGGGTTACAGTAACTTTCAAGTGTTGACTTCAATAACCCACCTTAGGCTTTACCCTTTAGAGTTCATTGAGGTGAATGTTGCTTTTTGCAGTGGAGGGTAAGGCCCTTTTGCCTTCTGTGCCTCATTTCTATCCAGAGGAGTTCTGTAAATTCCAAAATAGACTATCCAGCTCTTCTCATGCATGTGTTTCTTATACAGGGTGTTTCACTGCAGGCAGCCTGGACACTTCTGGCATAATCCCTTTTCAGTGGAGGTCTTGGAAAGGAAATCTCTGTTTTCCAGTCTTGGAATGACTAGTGTGTGCAGCCTAAGGAAAATGAGTTTACCCTGAGCAGGAACGGGCAGTAGCAGTCCCTTACCCCCACTGCAGGCCAGCCTGAGAGGGGGAGCGTGCCCTCTTGCCAAAGTGACGTCCCACTGTCCTGTTCTTCCTGCAGAAGCAGGGCAGAGAAATGTGGTACCTGGCTGCATTCCGGTGGCGCCGCACTGCACCTTTCCAGCTTTTGGCTTGAGGAAGCGGGCTGTGTGGCTGGACGAGCTTGGCAGCAGTTACAGGTAGCTTGCTGCAGAAACTCGGGACGCCGCTGATGTCTGCACAGTGCAGCGCAGGGGACTTTGGCCCTTGGAACTATCATGCTGCCCAGCGTATCGTGGGTTTTCTGTTTATTTTCTGACCTTCCTTACAAAGCTAATCTTCCTAAACTCTTCCTTCCCGCTAACCTGAACGGAGACGGCGGAGTGGTAATGTCAGGCAGCGCGTACGTGGTGAGAGGAGCGATGAAACGGCTTCTGACTTGACAAGTGACAGCTAGCAATTTTCTTTTACCCATGTGAGAAGTGGTAATCTTACCCTGTGTCTTTTTATTCCAGTATCCCCGTCCCACAGAGAAACACGTCACGGCTATAGAAACAGTGGAAGAGGAAACAGGTGAGCTGCCTGACTTTTCTTACAGAGCTAATGAAATTATTCGGTAACCTTTAAAATTATGTAACGGTTGTATTCCAGTCAAAGCTGGGCACTGCAGGTGCGTCTGGGATTGCTGAGTGCTGGACGTTGTGTAAGCAAGACCACGAAAACAGCAGCCCTCCCCCGGCAAGGTGTGTGTTTTAACTGCATTAAGGATTTGAATTTTCAGCTTATTCTGAGGCTGTTGGTCACGTTACTCCTGGTTTCTCTGTGGAATGTTCCTTCATTGTGCAGTTCTGTGGTGGTTCTATGCTGGTTTCCATCTGCAGGGCTCTACAGATCAGATTAGGACCCTGGAAGGAAGCACAGTGGGCTGTGTGGATCGAGCCTGTGGCACTCCACAGGCATTGCACCACTTGGCTTTCATGATCCTTGCTTTTGGAGCGATCATTTGCTGTTTCACTTCCCGGATGAGGGGGTAGTTCCAGGAATCAGACACGTGTGTGATGGCCTAGTGGGATGCTGACAGTCAGAAAGCCATCACGGATCCGCAGTCTCGCTTGGTCAGTCGGAATCCCTGACATACCGAAAATCAGACATTATTTCCCAGTCATATTGATGGGAACACAAGTCTGCCGGGGTCAGCGTGCAGTTGTCGTTTGGGGTCAGCTCTGCTGATTCCACATGGATTGTTTTCTGGATGCTGAGCTTGCAGGAAATGTTTGCTGCTAGGCACTTGGGGTAACGTGCCTGCGCAGAGGATTTGTTAACAGTTACGCCACCACAGGGGAAACAAGTCCCGTGGGACTTTGCATGGAAATAACCACCTTTTGTCCTAACACAGGAACTGGGATCAAGTACTCATTTGGGATGAAGTAAGAACTTGTGGACCTTTAAGGTTTTACTCCCAAATGCATGCGGATACCCTTTGTCACACGTTTGGGGCTGCCTTCTGTCTGGTAGCTCACGTTTAATGGTGGCTCTTAATTCCAGGATTGTGCTCCCTTTCTGAGCAGGGTTAGTGAGGTTGCCCTGAGGTTCCAGACAGCCGGGCATTAGTGCTGCCGTTGCTGTTCCCTTCAAATGCAGTTAAAAGTGTTGGTTAGGGCTCGGAAAGCGAGCCCCACGAAGTTTTCATCGTGCAGGTCGCGCCAAATGCAGCTGTTGGAGAAGGTACTCTTTTATCCCGGAGAAGTCTTTAACCTGGGCTGCCTGCCAGTTGGCTTCTCGTTTGGTAGCGTTCTGTTCTTGATCTGGGTCATTAAATATTAAAAGGCAAAGTGATTCTAAAAGCCAGCCGTTTTTTGCAGCTACTAAATAACTGTAATTTGTTTCCTAATAGAGAGTTTTGTCCTTGTCACTGGGTCCGACTCAATACAGAAATAAGAGATGTGATGGGACAGGGCTGTTCTGTAAGTCTCCTGCACAGAATGTTTGCCCAGAGAACGAGCCTGAGAATATAAATTGGGGTGGGGATACAGCTAAACTAAAACTTAGGTCTGCCCATTGGTCTGGCAGCGCAGTTGCCCGAGTGTTTCCCTCGCCCCAGTCATCGTCTGCTCGTCCCACAGGAGCGGGGCTCTCCAGGGGGTCCCGCCAGGCCCTGTGGGGGCTGTGGGCTGTGTGCGCCGGCACTGCCGGCAGCACTTCGCTACCCAGGAGCACTGCCGTAAACCGTTAGGACCCCGCGCTGGGCACGGGGTGTGGGTCGCAGGGATAGGTCAGAAGCCGCCTCCGGAGGCCGAGCGCAGAGTGCCGGTAGCAGTCTTATTCCTGGCCCCGTCTGGAGAAGCGGCGGAAGTGCTGCCTTGTACTTAAAAACCCCAGAACCAAACCAAAGGCACCCCCAGCACTCTGTTGGTCTGCCAGCATTTCGGCTTGCACGTTTGCTGCGCCGTGAAGCCTTCCAACCACTTCGGTTTTATTTAAAGGCAGTAATGTTGGCTGCTGTAGCTTCCCTTCTGCTTTTCTTTTATCAGCAGATTTGTTGATGAGGATTATTCACCAGAGCAGAATCGCAACATGCCAGAATGTAATTCCTGAAATTTTAAGAAAGGTAACTACTTGAGAAATTTAGTCAATTGTGAAACCTCAGTGCTTGACTGTGGTTTATCTGGGGTAAAAGGATCACAGTTCCTAACGATTTTTTTAAAATTAGAAAAGTTACTTTTAAAGAGAAAAAGATTGCCGAGAACTGATTTTACGTTTAGCTGCAATGGACAGAAACGTAGCCTTGAGCTCACCAAGGTGTAGCTGGTGGTGGTGGTTGTTTTCCACACAGTGATGGGCTTTTAACTTCTGTACCTGGGCAAAGCAAAGCTGGTTTCAACTGTCACCTGGGCCACAGTGCCCATGCAGCCGTACCCCAGCCCAGCGTGACAGTGGCAGCGCTGTCCGTGCTTGCGGGTTTGTGTGGTATTTCTAGAAAGGCCCAGCCTTGTGGAACTCGGCGAGAAGGCGGCAGCTAGCAATGAGCGCTGGGTAATTATTTCCAAACTGAGCTCATGTGCTTTGGATGCCTGATTCGTGACTCCTGAACACCTTGGGTTGTCATCCCTCACAAACCATTCCGTGAGTGAATTCAGAGGGAATGAAAGTAACACTTAATGCACCTGTAGCATCGTAGGGTCCCTACAGAGAAGGTAAAAATGGGATTCCTTAAAGGCTGTAGAAAAAGTAAGGGCCTGGGTTGTGCAATCCCGCCATGCCTCTGCCGGTGACAGTCCTTTCTTCTCGGCTGTTGCGGGAGAAGAATTACCCTTACTTTGTTACTTGCCTTTTTGCAGAGCATCGTGCAGCAGAAAGCCCGTGTACAGAAAAGTGCATTTACGTTCAGGCATGATGGAATAACTGTCCTGTTTCCCAGCATGCACGCTCAAAGTGTGCACGCACTCTTTTGATGGTGCTGATGACGCTGCATGTTTCTGCCTCTAAACGTGTGTCTCTTCCAAGCCTCACCTCCAAGGAGCACATGTCATTGCCCCTACAGGCAGAATGCAAATAAGCCGCTGGCGAGATTTGCATCCCTTCTTTGGCCCGTGCTTGCTAGATCAAGGTCGCACGGGTCGACAGGTGGGCTCTCGGAGCGGGAGGACGGTGTCAGCCGCTGCGCCCCGGGGCAGGAGCCAGCAGAGGCACAAGTCTTTCTCCATCCCTCTGGGTTGGCTGGTGGTTTTGGCTACCCTGCATGGAACTGTTTGGAAGTGGCTCCTCTTACCCTTCTTTGTCACAAATTAGCTGTCAGTAGCAAGAGAGACAGCCAGAAGAGGTGCAGGTAGGTTTGCCTGTCGTGATCTTGGAAGTCCAGCTGGTGACTGAGCACCTTCCCTGAATCCTGGCGTGTGTGCATGGCCTTTAGTAGCTGCTGAGGAAGTTGACTGTTCTCATCGGGGCTAACCACGGCTGATGTGCCCTCCTCCTGAATCCTCAGTCTCATCCTCTGAGGCTAGTAGTACTTCCAGAATACTGAGAAGTGATTCTACTCCCCTCTTTATTTCTTTTTTAAAAGCTGTAATTCTTCTGTTTCCCAGGTCAGTGTCTTAAAAGTGCCCGACATCTACTTGGAAGAGGAATCTTGGCTTAATATGCAGAGAAGAAGTGTGGCTGTGGAAACTCACTGCCTTACGTGGACACAGTAGACATCTCTGAGCGGGGAATCTGTCTTCCCAGAGAACTTGAAGAATCCAAACTGGTGAGTGCTGGGTGTAGCAGTGCCCCTGTGTCAGCTCAGGACTGCTGCTTCAGGCCCACAGTCCTGAAAAAGGGGTTCTGTTGCTTTCTGAATGCTCTGAGTAATAATCCCTTTGGTATATCTTGAATGCATGTGGAGCAGCAACTGTAGATGTCCTGTAGCTTTCTACTGCTGGGTTCAGGTGCGAGGTTCCATTCTTTGGCCGGAGCACAAATAGTTGCTGGAAATTAATTTTCTGTGCTCTCTGCAGTCAGAGGAGGCTGCCCCGCTGCTCCCACACGGCAGGCATAGCAGAAGTGTTCGTTTTGCTCTCGTGTCTACCGACAGATGCTTGGACAGCAGCTTAAAAATTATCAGCTCCCTCCTGCTTGCCAGCCACTGGCATGGAGCACGCTTCATCCCAAACACTTTTTCCTTCTCTGCTGTTCAGCCAGCCGAGCCCCAAGGACCTAGGCTGCCGTGGAACCCTGCCTGCGAGAACACACACTTGTGGTTGTGCAGGGAGACCGTCACCTTCCCGATGTCCCTAGTGGGACTGGGGGTTGAGGTCATGCTTAGTCCCGATCAGTCGATTTAACCACAGCACAGTTCTTCTTCTTACCGTCAGGGGGTTATTTCGTCCTAAATAAATGGGAACGCAGCGATGCCAACTGCTGCATATACTTGCCGAGTGAATTATTGTGGGTGCTTCCAAGCAGCGCATATAAATCTCTGAAAAGAACTCGTAGCAAACAAACATTACCATAAATAAATTATAAACCCTTGAAAAAGGCATGACGAGGCATATCTGTGTACTCAGAGGCTAGAAAGCACCTGTGTTTCCTCTTGGCTGCACTCCTTCGTGACGCTTTCGATTGGTTTCCATGATTTAGCTGCTGTTGCACACGCACATTCTGATGTCTGAATTCCAAAGAAAGGCAGTTGGTCCCCATGGGCCAGGCCTGGCCGCAGGCAGCGCTGCAGGCTGAGCTGCAGGCCGAGCTGCAGGCCG